TGCGTTTGCTGGATTGTAGGACCGGGCATGCATTGCAGCTGTTGGACTCATTGGCAAATTGTCGTGTGTGTGTGTGTGTGTGTGTGCGTGTGTTTGACAACAGAAGCCATGCCTCATCTTCAATTCGTTCGGTTCCTGATGGACTCAATGACTCAATGTTTTGTGGTACAGGATTCTGGAGTGTCTTGATCCTCAACGAGAGACGAAGGCCGATACTACACCCTATGACAACCCTTCATCCTACACTGAGCATAGATCGCGAGCCCGCTTGCCGCTTGAAAGGCATCAGTAAAAAAACCATGCTTCACCTATGAAAAATGTGGGTTTATGCATGGGATCCTGCACGACACGCAGCTCTCCCTTGAGGGAACTGTGTCTGAATGAAAACGTTGCGAGTTTACGAGAACTTCCAGTAAAACTAAAGCAAAAGTTGCGATGGCAATCAGTAACCAACACTACCCTAACCTACCAAACCCCACTTTGTTGTAGGTTCTTATTATAAACCTTCATATGGAATTATAGGGTATTACAAAAAAAGTAGGTTTTGGTAGGTTAAGGTAAGCATCGAACAGATCCTTCGCCCATGCTTGTCCATCAGGTATTACGTGGGTGATTTCGTGTCGGGACACACTCCCGGCGTCGAGGTCTTGCAGCTCTGAAATCCTGAACTGAACTGCACAAATCCCAAAACCGTCCCAAAGGGTCCAAAGTACCTATATAGTAGAATGCAGGGTTTCTATATGAGTATGATTTAGGGAAGTATCCCCTATAACAGTACCTAGGACCCTTTGGGCCTATAAACATTACGAAGCGCTGGATGGGTCGTTTTGACATACCGGAACTCCGTTCCCGAACTCTGCGCACTTTGCTCCAGAAACTGGGGACCGCAATAAATTCCTCATATAGAAACCCTACATTCTACTATATAGGTACTTTGGACCGTTTGGGAGGTTGTTGGAATTATGCAGCACATCTTCCTTAAGGACGAAATGAACCCTACGGTTTAAGGCTCATAGACCATATGGGATTCCTAGTATATGGGTATAGGGCCTCTACTTTTAAGGGTCATTGGGTCCGCACATCTTCCCACCCCCGAAAACAACGCCATCTGAAGCACTACGCCCAAGAGAGGTCCGGCAGTCTCAGAACTCTGAAGAAACCATAGATCCCCAATGCCCAACCTTTAAACTTTCTTGGGTTTTTGTAGTTTAGTAGGAATCGGAAAGTTTAACATATTTCTGTGGCTTATTGGGGTAGTAACAAACAATGTCTTCATGTTAATGGTTGTATCCTAAACCCTGAACCGTAGACCCTAAACTCCTATAAGCTTCTATAGACCTGTTGGAGGCGGCTGCCCTCAGTGGACTTGACTGCGCACTGCACTTGGCCAGCCGAGACCTCGCCGAGGGGTCGCGAGAGAACTGAGGCAAAGCAGATAACCAAAAGGATTACCAGGTACTACGGTTGATGATATAAATCCTGCATTACCTTAAGGGCCCTAAACTATGGGAATTATGGTATATTCCTTATTATGGGTCATGCAGGATTTATATCATCAACCGTAGCACTCACTAGGGGCACTACCGGGGCTTACTAGGCACGCTGGGGCTCCTAGGGGTGCTGGTGCCAAGCGAGTCTTGATGTAGATATGCATGTGTATATACGCAACAGTGCTAACTGAACCACAATCCTAAATTTTCATAGGTTTAAGATGTATATATACTTGTATAACTACATACAGCAGTAATTACTGGTGATAGTCATTGTAATGGCTACACGAGTTGTTAATCAACTGCTCACCCAGAAGCAGAAGCATCACGATCTGAACAACAAATATTTTAGTTGGCGTTGTTGCATCTTGGTCACGCTGTTGTTTCTACCGAGATTCAGTCCCTGCGGTGTTTTCAGAGTGGTTGAGCCAATAAGGGAGTTTCCGAAAATAGGGGACCCTAATACAGTACCCTGAATAGAAGGCTCCCTTTCTTCAGGACCCCAAAATAAGGTACTAGTACCCTACTTTGCGGAAACTCCAAGTAAAGCCGCGGAGCTGATTGAAGAAAGGTCTTTGCTCTGGCCCAAAGGGTCCAAAGCACGAATAAAGTAGAATGTAGGGTTTCTATATTCGGAATTACTATTATGATTTAGGGAAGTATCCCCCATATAGGACCCTTTGGGTGGCTGAGAAGTATTCTGTCGGGATGCACACCGAAGTCTAAGCTTGATGTGGGTGAGGGATCAAAAAAAAATTAAATAAGGATCAAAAAAAAATTAAATGGAAAGATCAAAAAAAATTAAAATAAGGATCAAAAAAAAATTAAATCACGCAAAATACAGCAATTCCTGGGGCAGGGGCATCAAAAAAAAAAATAAGGATCAAACAAAAATTAAATCACTTAAAATACAGCAATTCCTGAATTTTTCCAATGGAAAACACTGTTTTCCTACGGATTTTCTTGTGTTTCCTTAGGATCTGTCTGGTTTTTGCTCTGGAAAACACGATATTCCTGCGGATTCCGTGGTATTTCCCTAAGTTTTCCTTGATTTTTCGTAGGAAAAACCTATTTCCTATTACCTATGGCGTTCGTGTCATTTCTTCAGGTTTTCAGAAGGACAACATATGGTTGTTCCTCGGGAAAATCAAATTTTCCTTCCAATTTCACATTTAGGACGGATTTCCTGTTGTAGCTGTTGCTGGTATTCCGCTTCATCATCTATCTTAAACACGCCTCTCATTTGGCGATTCTGGTTCAGCATGTATCTACAAGGGCGGAGACACCCTCATTTGCTGGGGTTCAAAAAAAGGCATATGCTTCAAAGCAACCCTGCACGGCTTAAAACAGCGGGGGGGTTGGGGGGGGCGCAGCCCCCCCCATTTGCAGAGACAACGTTCACATGATGGGCTTCGAAAACACTCTTTGAATCAAGCTTGCACGTTTCGAAAAGCGCGGCGGCGGGTGTTTTGTTCTTCCGTGCCTGTTCGTGTCTCTTCTTCCGTTAGCATTCTAACCCAATATATATAACATAGTAAACCAGAAGAACGACATAAGATGGTTCGACAACACAAAAATGGTGTGACATTTTCTGACATAACAGAACCTTGCTTCTTATAGCATATAATAGCATACTAAAAATACAACAATACAATATAACAGAAGATGACATAGAACAAAACAACATCTTAGTTTATAGTGTAGTACATTGTAGCATAGTACAATACAGTGTGTATATTTTTATGTAGTATATTTTATAACATTAGGTTACATTATGTTATATTATGTTACGGTACATTACGATATTATGGTAAATTCGATTGGACTATGTAGTATCCTGTTGCATGTATCTTTGTTTCTGCGATTCTTTCATATTCTTTCTCTTTCGTCTTCTCCAACTTTGCTTTTTTATTCTGGACTTTCTTTTTTCGCTCGTTCATTTCTTTTCTTTCTTTCTGTTGTTCTTTCTTTGTTCATCTCATACTCCCTTCCTTTCTTTCTTGCTTTCTTTCTGGTTTGATTTATTTCGTTCTTTCTTTTTCGTTCTTTCTTTCGTTATTGCTTTCGTTCTTTCTTTCGTTTTTGCTTTCGTTCTTTCGTTCTCTCTCTCGTTCTTTCTTGCATGGCTTTCTTTATTTCTTTCTTTCTTTTGTTCTTTCTTTATTTCTTTCTTTTGTTGTTTCTTTATTTCTTTATTTCGTTCTTTCTTTCGTTCTGTCTTTCTTCCTTCCTTTCTTTCTTTAGTTCGTTCTTTCTTTCTTTCTTTCCTTCTCTCTCTCTCTCTGTCTTTCTTTCCTTCCTTTTTCCCCTTCCTTTCGCTGATACCCGTTTAATTTTGTTTGATCCTTATTTAATTTTTTTTGATCCTTATTTAATTTTTTTTGATCCTTATTTAATTTTTTTTAACCCCTATCCCAAGGATGTTGCAATCAATCGAACGGCCTGCCTAGGAGTCTACAGCCATGCTTGCACTCACATATGTTTGCACATCGCGGGTGCATTAAGCGTAAACCCTAGCTGATACCCAGCCCAGCTACCAATATCTGACTGCACGCAGGCTCCGGCAATGCGCTGCGCAGCACGATTTTCGGATGATGCAAGGACGAAGAAAAGTTTCTGCTCCCGTTTTCATGGGCCTTTATGGGGTTGAAGTTGAGGATTTAGGCGGTTAAGCACCTCAACCCGAAACCCGGAGCCATAGAAGTACAAAACACACAGGCCCTTTACCCCAACATGTCTTCTCAGTTTTGTAACCAAGCAAGCCAGTCTTGATACTTTCTTATGACCTCTGCGTGAGTGGTCGGGGCATTGGGGGGAGGCAGGCTTCCGGATGCGTAGGGTTTGTGGGTTTAGGGTTTCCCTGTTAATCCTGAATGTCGATCGACGTTCAAAGCGGGGGATTCCGGATGTGTAGTCATATCGTAGCTCTGGCAACTGCACTTAGAATCCCATTTCAACCTCATCTTTACGAAGCCGCTTGATCCTTGAAGTGAGTTCCTGGGTTTTTCGTAGCGGACACTCAAGGCTGAGAAACCGCACATGTCGTGAGCACACTCCTAGACACCCACATGCAAGTGCATCGACCTCGGCATTCCGGAAAGATGCGAAGCGCAGCCTGGTGTGTGTTCGATCACGAGACTCGGCTGACTAGAGCGGCTCTTCCCGGCATTTCCGACACATGCTAAACCCCCAGAACCGTGCCTGAACCTCCTTGGTGGAGGTTTCAGAAATTTGGAACTCTCAGCTAGAATCTAGAAGATGCAAGGTCCTGATTTAACCAAGGCCCTAAACCCTAAAGCCTTAAACCAGTGCACCCCGACCACACAGACCTCGTCTGGCAAGTCCGAGTTGCGAGAGTGTAACTTAGATAGTGAACTGGGGAAGTTTGAACTTTTTGGGGCCCGGTTGTTGAAGAATAGAGGTAAAGCCTTAACCCCAAAACGGCAAGGATTCGCAGAGAGAGACTCCCAGTTTGCCGTAGCATCCGTTATCCGCAAGCATTCTGAGCAGGTCTTGGGCTTCTCCTGTCTACAAGACATCCCGGGCTCCTTGCTTGACTACAGCAGGGTAGTGATATGGAGGCTTTAAGAATTGCCAATATTTTTCCTCGAAGCTCCTTAAATTATTGTATGTATAGTATGGAATAGTATGCCGCAAAGCCCTGTTCCAAATGTCAAGGACCCTACATTATTTCAGTGGTCTAGGCTGTAGGGTAGGATTTGTCTTCAGATGGGTGTTAACCAGGGTTTCTAAGTGTCTGTATTAGATGATATGCAGGTTTTACGCGTCTTTTGTCTGTGTTAAATGACGTGCTTATAAGTATACAGGGTTTCAAGTCTTTTACCATCTACTATTTGCTTAAGAACCCCCAAAAAATGAAAAATATATTCCTTATGGTGGTAATATAAGGATTATTATTTTTGTTTTTTGGGGGTTTCTTAAGCAAATAGTAGCCATGGTTTCAAATGTTCATAGGGTTGAACCGAGCTTCGGGTAGGGCTCTCTCTATGAACTGTCTCGGATCGGGCTTGGAAGGCTCCGGAGGATGCAGCATTTCGAATGTCATACATACTACCTTAACCTACCAAACCCTACTTTTTTGTAGGTTCTTATTCTAATATGGAATTTATAGGGACCCTACTTTTTGTAGGTTTTGGTATGTTAAGGTACATACTACATCCCCAAAGGATCCAAAGTACCGATATAGTAGAATGTAGAGTTTCTATATTAGGAGTCACTATTATGATTTGCGGCAGTGTTCCCCATAACGGTACATAGGACCCTTGGGGATGGTATGAAACATATAATGTTTGATATCTCATATGTAGCACATTCACATAACCTAGGGCCCTCTCAAAAGACTGACTAGACGGTATCACTATCCGATACCGCAAGCTGGGGACAGTTGCATTCGCAATTCGCAACAAAGACGAGACTTCAAGCGCCTTCATATCGCCCAATCTTCACGGAGTTGAGTATTGACATTTCCTAGACACCCCCAAAGTGGGTAAAATGATGGCCCCGCACCTCTAAAGGCCAGTCTTCTACATACTTTTGGGGTCCAGGTTACTGCCTTGACATTTTGTTTCTTCACAGTGGCAGTAAACAAGGGTTTCCGAACCCTCAGGCCTGAGCCCTCGACCTCCAAGCTTTCATACTTGAAACCAATCGGATTACAGAGGCGACGGGGTGACCTGTAGCGCCGCTGTCAGCGCGCCCTGGCGGTCATGGGGATGTGAGGGTCTCCTACCCGACCCTGCTCTTGAGCCTTGAAAACTCGCACATGCGTCGCGCATGTTCTTTATCGGTTACTCAAGCCGATGGTAGGATGTGTCAGGATACGAGCTTTAGCTGTCGGCCTTGCACGTCGTGTTCAGCACTTGTCATACCGCATCCTCAGCAAGCACAAGATTTTCTTCTGTCCTGGTCAGTTCGTGCAATCATACCAAGCCTCCATATGAACATAGGGGCCCAAATCATTGCCAACACAATTTGGGGTTCCGTACTAGGAAGGCCTCGATATTCAAACCCTCATCGTATCCCTTGTAGAACCCTTAAGGGAAATCCTCTTCGAATTCTGAATGTACCTTTAGCTTCACCCTTGCAGTATCCCTGGTAGTATGCCTTTTAGAACCCTTGATTGGGACCCTCTTCTAGTTGTTGAGGCCCTCATCTTCCCCTACTCCCGGCCCTTCCGGGCCTTCCTCCCTCCAAGAAGCCCCGAGCAGAGTCAATGAAGGCCAAATTTAGGATTTCGGCTTGGTTGGGAGGTTTAGCGGTCACGGGTTTAGGGGTTTAGGGGTTCATGGTACAGGGGTTTAGGGCCTAATCCTTATTGGCACAATTCTGAAACAGATCTTTGCCTTCGATCACCTGTAAAGGGTTTGGTTTTTGAGCTCAGTTTTGGGAGGTCGCAACATGCATTACGCAACTTGTTACACGGTTTGGGTTTGCGGGGTTTTGCGGCTAGGGGTTTAGGTTATGGCAGTGTGTCTACGAGATACAAAAACACTTGACAGTCTTTGCGTGTTGTTCTCGTCTAACTCGTCTAAACGCCACAGAACCGTAGCCGAAAGCCTGCAACCGTTATTCTTTGAGTTTAAAGTGTATTCGTAGTAAGGTATCTACATGCTGTCTGTGCCTTGAACCCTAGTTCGACGTGACCCATAAGCCCTGAAGCCCCAAAGGCACACCCTTGACAGCGCTTGAGGCGTGTGCTCGCGCGCAAGTTTGGCAGAGAAGCTGCTACCTGGCGACAAAGGCCACACCGATGAGTATCAATTGCCAGGACCAATTACTGTGCGGGTAGCAGTCTGGAGATTGCGCAGGAACATTACTCCTCCTACCGGTACTATGTATATATATATATATACGAATGCACCAATTTATCCCTAATCCCCCAAAGTGGTTTTAAAGAACCCAGGCCACACAGCAATCTGCTCTTTATCAATACATAATTATATATCACTTAGAACCCGAATACCCAACCTTTAAACTTGTTTGGGTTCTTATAGTTTAGTAGGAATCTGCAAATTAAACCTTTTATCTCTGTGGAGAACATATTTTGACTTGTTTGTTTAGTTCGGAGGGTAGGGTGGGGGTACCCTAAACCCTATAAACCCTAAACCCTAAACCGTTTGACTTGAGGAGGGCCTTGGGATCACGTTCTGGGGATGGCGAGACTCTGATATGAGTCCTTAATTCCTTGCTGAAGCCATACACTATACACCTATACGTGATGTCTGAATAAAGGATATAGATTAGAAGCTGCCCCCACCCTGTAATAGTGGTATAATAGGAATAGAATAGGGCCCCAATATAATCCTTATAGTCTTATAGTCACTATTACAGGGTTGGGGCAGCTCCTAAGATATAGGTACAAGGCTTCATTTAGGTGTTTTCCGAAGTTTCCTGGGACACTTAGACTCTGAACCCAGGGTACGGCCCCCACTCAGTAACAGTTGGATAATATTCATAATATAGATATACAAGGCCCTCAATCGTAGCCCTATTATAGACTGCTACTGTATGGGGGCCGTACCCAGTCTGAACCCATAATCGGGTCCCACTGCGGACTTGCTGGCGTGCAGTAGCAGAGCTTCGGGCAAGGCCGCGGCACCTCATATCCCCAACCTTACTTGGAGGGGCAGGGGACTTAGTAAGTAGGTTATAAGTAGAGTTATAATATAAGTACGCTACATGGAGTTACCCCAATTATAACCCTACTTATAAACGACTTACTAGGTCCCCTGCCCTTCCAAGTACCTCCATTCATAGTAGATACTTAAGCCTTAAAGCATTCCCTATATAGGTACTTTAAGGCCCAAGTATCTACTATATGGGTACATGGAGCCTTTGGGCCTATAGTCTCAAATTCTAGTTCTTTCTTTTTCGGTTAAGAATGTTTATATTTAGGATCCCATACGGCAATCAATCCCAGAAAGGAACTGCAATGGAGACTGTAGGTAAGCCTGCTTTGTTTGCAGTCTTCGGCGGATGCCGTGGCGCTCTCTGCCGCCCTGCGTGCTGGGTCTTGGGAGAGGGCCATCAACCTGCTCACGCATATGTTGCACTGCAGAGATTAATCGCTCAGTACTTAGATAGTGAATCGGGGATTTTTGGCCTTATATATATATATATATATATCTCTCTCTCTCTCTCTCTCTCTCTCTCTTAGAGACTTTGAACGGTTTTGGGCCCGGCAGGATGGGGTGTCTGTGGGTTCATTGCTCGGTATCATAGGGATCGGAATGATGAGCAACACTGTTTCGCACTATGCCCCCGAACCTTATTGGTATGGAGCCCCCTAGGGCACAGCAAGTGTTTTGATGTTCTCACTGCATCTCGCTGCTGAGGACCTCCTGACAACAGCACTTCAGGGCTTCTTCAGAGCCCAGAGAGACTCCAAACCTGAACCCTCAGAGCTAGACGAAATCCCCGAAATCCTAATCCCTACTTGGACGCTAAACCTACAGTTTTTGGGCTGGCTCCTCATTATCATTTCCTTACAACGGTTTTTAAACATATGAGGGTAGGTAACTTTTGTGATAAAAGTGGGCCGCTGGTAGCTGGATGAAGGAAATACCTCGCTCGCCACAGAGGGCTTTCTAGGTTGAGGGTTTCGTGTATATCGACTGATCGAAGGCGCCCCGCCTCCAGATTCCATGACAGACGCGGATGCGAGAAGTGCCTGATTCCCAATCTCCGAGAACACGCCTGTGTAATTTAATGTCATAGGGGCATATTCAAATTCAACGGTCTTGATTCGGGTCTTTATGTTGTCTGAGGCCTTCTGAACAGAAGGAGTACCTGATGAGTCTACAGTTATGTTCAGTTTCCTGATTTCTGACACTCCCATATCTCAGGCGCAACGATACAGCATACATGCCTACAGTACAAGATATATGGGTGGTTGTCAAAATTAGGGTCCCCTTTTGGGGTTCCCTAAAGATTAGGTGCCGTATTGCAATAAGGACCCAAAAAGGGACCCTAATTTTGACAACCACACATATATGCCGGAGATCCCTGCCCTGGGCCCAGCGCTACATCTACAAGATGACAACTTTGTCATGGTTGAGTAACATTCCACACTTTTATGGGTACTTAAACCCAATAAGGAATAACACTGTAGATTTTTAATCCTATCCCAACCATGACCTAGACAACTTAAGCGTCCAGACCTTCGTCTTTTGGGTCCTTGCTGGGCAAGACATACTATAGGGGCCTCAATCGGCTTCAATAACTACCAACACTATTTCGCGAAACTCCTTGCTATATTTATAGTATAACGGGCCCCAAAACCCTGTTCTCACTGATAAAGACACCTACAGTACCAGAAGGGCGCCCATCTGTGTCTGAGCGCTTCGGGTGACTAATTCTACCTTCAGATACCAGAAGAGAACCTACCTCTAGTCTCCATGGTAGTTCCTGTTTGGGGTTACCTTTGTAGGATCCTAAGTATATATTTGGTTTAACCAAAAAAAGGAACTACAATGGAGACTGTAGGTATTTTCAGATACCACAAGAGTGCCTACTATAGGGGCCTTAGTAGTTAGAATAGGGTTTTGGGGCCCGTTATACTTATAATCAGGACCCCCCCAAAAAATAGTGTAGGTAATTAGTAAGGCCCCTAAAGTAGTCCCAAAGAAAGGCTCCACCTCGGCTTGGAAGTCGATGCGGTCAGCGTGGGGGCCGCTGTTACTTCTTGCCAGGCCTTCTTCGGAGATATCGAGGTTAGGGCTTGGGCTTAGGGTGTAGGTTGTAGGGTCTAGGCTGTAGGCTTTGGTATCTTATTGAGAGACCTTGATTATGATTTCGGCCTTGCATCAGCTGTGAGCCGCATATGGACTGTCGGCTGCCTAGGCAATCTGTGTTTCAGCAAAACGGGGAACTTAATGCCGACAGATATTGACCCAGAGTAGTACAACCGACCCTTGATAAAACCTCCCACTGACTCCAGTGACCTGGCTATGTTGGCAGCTTTGCAGGTGGCGGCAGCGTGGGTGGCAGCGATGGCGCTTGTCCAGCAGATGTGTCTCTGCTCCAGGGGAGGGAGTCTCTCTCTCTGACAGCTGTCTGCTTCTGCTTGGTCTACTTCTCGCTCAAAGACTAGCCCGCATGAGTTTTTGGTCTGCGAAACCAAAGTAGCTACTTATTAGTTATTAGATACTTCGGACCATCGGGTTACGGCAGTCAAGCAGAGCAAGGAACTAAGCTAATTACCAGGTGTGTCTTGGCAAAGGGTCCTCCGTGCAACGACTCCTGAGATTGACTTCGACTACACTGTGTCATGCTGGCTTCGCTCAGTGCTTAGACTTGCGTGAAAGAGAGTCATGCCCTAAACTCGTGAACCCTCAAGCCAGAAGCCCAAAAGTTCATACCATTCATACCCAAGGCCCCGTGTAAACCCTGAGTGCTTTCACGCTCGTTGTCTCGCTCTCCCACTTTGCACATCCCTAGCCCTGAAACTCTGAACATCAACCCTAAACCCCTAAGCCGTGTCAAGAGGTCTTTCTTGGTCAATCTGAACCGTCTGGTCTGTGGCCCGCCTGCGCTTGAACCCGCAGGCAGCAGGCATGGTCCATCTTGCCATTTAGGCTTTGTTTTGGGGTCAGGGTTCAGGGGTTGAGAGTTTTGGGGTTGGGGCTTCGGGGGTTTCAAGTTTTGGGGTCAGGGTTCAGGGGTTGAGAGTTTGAGGGTTGGGGGGGGGCTCACGGCTCAAATAAGGATTGAGGCAGGGATTTGGGATTCGTGTAGGGCTAGTGTAGGGCCGATATTTGTATTCCATGTGGGCTCCCGAGTGGTATTTTTGAAGGGCCTCTGCATTAAACTGTACCGTATCACTCGTGAGGGTTGAGGAGACGTGGCCAATCATACTGGAAACAGGGTGGAAACAGCAGCTGCGGTTTGGTTTAAATGCAGGCAGGGAGTGCTTCATAATAACCACCTCCGCAACATTAGGGACGACTTCGACGACGATAGTAACTGTAGCAGCATCTCAGTGCGACACGCTTAGCCGATGTATTGTCCCGAAGACGGAAACCGTCGCACGGGGAGACGGTGCAAAATGCCAGGACTGGACGGCTTGGGATACTTGCTTTGAAAAGCAATTTGGGGTTAATCCCTTACCATATTATCCGTCATAGTAGCTCTTGCAGCAAGGGCGGAGGGTTGCAAACCTCTAGACCCTAAACCGTAGAGCATCAAACACACAGCCCAGGCCATGCCGCGATGATCGCTTGCCAGCGTATGTCTGCGCACCTGGCCGCCATGGCACTGCTGAAGAGTTCTGCGGCTGCAATATTTGTTAGGTCTCTCACGCTCATTGCTGTCATACCTACAACCTACATGTATTACACCGGTTTGGGGAGTGCAGTAGTTGCTATTTAGCTTACATCCGTTCTGGCTATTTTTTGGATTTCAGCAAGTACCATATCGTACGGTCTTTCGGGGATGGTGTATACAGTGGCAAAGTTTGGAAACAAGGGTAATTGTTAAGGCCCCTAGATTATAGTATCCGTATATAATCCTTATAATAACCCTTATAAAGACTCTGTAAAAGGAGCCCTATTTCAAAAATTAAGGCCCCATATAAGTAAGAGTGATAAGACCCCTGTAGACCCCTTTAAACAGAACCCTAAAGCCGTAGATAGGGACCCTTTTTAAGGATCCCTTCAAGAGTGCGCGCCTCGAGCCTTCAGCCTTCCCCGAAGAACTCGAGGCATGGTCGGATGGAAGGTGAGGCAGGCGAGATGGGAAATCAGGGCTTGGCACTTAAATGGGAGTTTCCGAAAATTAGGGGTACCTTTAAAGGGCTCCATGAGGTTTCCTTTAAAGAGATGGGACGAAAGGGCTTGGCACTAATTTGGGGTAACTTAACTGCGGTTTAGGGCTCATTAGAAGGATCCTTTAAGGGCTCCTTTAAAGGGATCTATAAGGGTTCTAAATCCCTAAACCGTGGGTACCTAATATAGGGACCTAAATACTGATCTCGAGCGGTCACTAGCTTTGCTCGTTGTTGCTCGCAACATTGTTCTCGAAAGGTCTGTGGGGCTGAGAGTGACTTGGCCAAAATGTAGGGGCTTAAATAATTAGCTAGACGAATTGGGGGGGTTCCTTATGAAAACCATAGTGCGGTTGATATAAATCCGGCATCACCCATAATAAGGAAGGACTATACCATAATTCCCACAGTTCAGGGTCCTTAAGGTTATTCAGCTGCTTCAAAGAAGCTCCCTCCCAAAAGACCCCACCAAATCCTCATCTCCTAAATCTCCTCAACCCGATACCCAAGCCCCTAACCCCTAGACAATTAAATCCAAAGCCCCTAAACCCAAACTCCTCAACCCTAGACCCTACAAGAGAAGCCACTGTGGGACAACTCCCTCCGCAGCCCCCAAAGCCCAATTCTTTCGAAAGCCCCGCCCCCCCCCCCCTCGACAAAAACAAATCAAACCTTGAGAAGCCTTTCAGTATCGGTGTCGGATCAGTTTGAAAAGTGTTCTTAGTAGCTGAGTGGATACACTTTACACTTTTTTGGGAGAGTATTGCCCACTATGAAGCTGAACATGTACACTTTTTGGGGGGGGCCTATGAACTCAGCAACTAAGTGTTTGGGGCATTTTAAGTTGTAGGTATGTCGGGGACTGCAGGGAGCAGCTCCCAACCTTGCCCTTAAGACCCCCCGTTATCCGGAACGGACAAATCCTAAGGGTCCTAACACTTCACCACACTAAACCCAAAACCGACTAATCTAGGCACCTAATTAAGGAACCTTGGGCCTTTATTAGGCTCCTCATAATGAACCTTACTGGTTTAGGGTTGGCAGGCCCAGGGTTTTTCCGGCAGCTCCGAAGCCTTGCCCGACAGAGCCGACTGCATCGGCTTTGCCATCGTCTGCAATGCCTGCGCGAGCGCGGAGGCGGGAGTCCCGTTGGTTGGGGTGTTCATGGCTCAAATAAAACGTCACAACCTATGTATGTGTTGGTAGGCGCTTTTTACGTATAAACCCTGAACTGTTGTTTTGGATTTTGGGAGATCCTACAAAAACGTAGATTTGGTAGGTACGGCTTAAGTTTTATGGGGGTTTAGGGTTCAGCGTGACGGTTTGTAGACAGGGCTCACATAGGGTTGATGTGGGCCCGGGATTTGTAGATAGTTGCCATGCAGATTTCTGCAGGACCTACTATCCAAAGGCTCCATGTACCTTAATAGTAGATACTTAAGCCTTAAAGGGGTCCCTATATAGGTACTTTAAGGCCTAAGTATCTACTATATGGGTACATGGAGCCTTTGGGCTATGACTATCCTTCTCCCAAGACCCCGACAGCTAGGCCCGGGCTTTGGATTACCGATTTGGGGCTTTGCGGACGGGATTCAACAACACCAAGTTATACGCAGTGCAAGCTGTAACGTACGAGATTTGTTGGTTTACCACAATATTCTCGATCGCCCAGAGCCCAGGCCAGTTCAACAGTTTTCCGGCGCCCATCATCACACTTCTGCCGTATCGTGGTTTGTCATCCAAAATCCCTCCAGCCCTAAGTTCCTTCACCCTTACAGCCTCATCCTTTGAGCTGCACGCCCGAACCCAAAACTTCAAGTCCTTGCCCCTCGGACCCTGGAATCCTTGACCTACTGTCCTTGAAGCCAAGCCTCAAAATCCTTAGCCCTCCAAGCCTGCGGAGCGTCCGAGTGTGAACGCAGAAACCCTCAAGTTAAAAGCATTGGTTATCACACCAAACCCTATGCCCTGATGCCAAACTCTGAAGGCCAGAACCATAACCTAAAGCTTAACGGTGAACCAGGATCCCCAACTACCCACTATTAAGGACCTTATAAGGCCTTTAATAAAAGGCCCCGCGAGGGTGGTCCTGGAAGTCCTTCACTCTTTCGTTCTAATGTAGGAACCTGATGAAGAAACTCTGGGCCTATAACCCCTAAAACCGTAGGGTTCATATACGGAACCCAAATTAAGGCCCAAATTTTCTTAGTCAGGTTCCTGTGTTAAGGCCCCTATATCATAGAACCCTTTAATTTAAGGAACCCTTAAAGGAAACCCTGTTTGAATGATTAAGGCCCCGACATTCAGGGTGTTTATGCCTAATTCTAGGTTCGGTCGAGAAACCCTAAACCCTAAACTTTAAAACAAAACCTAAACCCTAAACCCTAAAAAACACCTTAAACCTTAAACCCCAAAAAAATAAACCCTAAACCCTAAAAAAAAACTAGACCCTAAACCCTAAACCCTAAGTCGAGGCCTGGGTGGAAGGAAGCGCGGCGCTGGCCTGGATGCAGGAGGAGCTTCTGAGCAGGGGGAAGTCTCTATGACTTCATAACTCCCTTTACTTGGAGGATCATGGGACTTGGTAAGTCAGGTTAGAACTACCTTAAGTGGCCTTAAGTGGGCTTATAGGTGCTTATAAGTATGGTTACCTTATTTAAAAACCCCAGTTTCTACGTCCCATGATCCTGTAAGTACTGTTTGTTTTAGGGTTCCTTGTTCCTTGTAAAGGGGCCTCTAAGGATTAGTATAACGGATCTCTAGTGCTCTTAGGAAGTTTCGTATCTTTTGGGGCGAAAACTTCAAGGGCTTTGGCTTCAGGGCCTTCAAGGGTCTTGGTTTCTGAATCCCTAAACCCTAAACCCTAAACCCTAAACCCCCTAAGCCCTATTCGGCATTTGCAGGTTGGGTGAAAGGGACTGAAGGTTCATCGTCATGCTGCAGGGTGCGTCTTACGGTTTTGTGGTAGAGTGCAGACGACTAAATTAGAGGCCTTTATAATCACCTAACCTATTTTGGAAGCTCCATATTATAATCATAGTATAATGTAATTACCCCCAAAACCCTATTCTAATTACGAATTACGAAGGCCCCTATAGCTCACGAAGCCACTCCTCCATAGGGCTCCTTCCTTAGCTCAAACAATTATGGGTTCAGAGCTCCTTAGTTCATTTATGGGTTCAGGGCTCCTTAGTTCATTTATGGGTTCTGGGCTCCTTGGTTCAAGTATGAGGTTAGGGCTTAGGGTTTAGGGTTTAGGGTAGGGCTTAGGGTACCCAAAATCCTGTTCAAAGTATGAAGGCCCCTATGTTAGATGTTGCAAGGGTGCATTCGGGCCCGCTTCATGAATCGATTTAGTCAAAGCCCAGGGCTTGCCCTAAACACCCAGACCCCAGCTCCCAAGACTCTTCGAAAAGCCTGTGCACTCCCTGTAAAACTCGTAGAGCACGCCGGGTAGAAGAAAAGAAGCACAAGCACCCCATAGGTTCTTCGCGAAAGAGCCCCACAAGGCCCCCCTGCTAATCCTAAGCCCTTAAGGCCTGTGTGGGAGTTTCCGAAAATAGGGGTTTCTAAACTAATATCATAAATAATTAGTAGGATCATTATTATAAGGGAGCCAAAATAAGGCACCTCCTAATTTTCGGAAACTCCCTTATAACCACAGTCCACTCAGAAGCTGATCAGCAGTGACATGGTGGCCTGCAACTCCGAACCTTTGCTGCAATTCGGTGCTGAGGGGTTTAGGGTTTAGGGTTTTGGGGTTTAGGGTTTAGGGGTTTAGGGTTTAGGGTTTAGGGTTTTGGGGTTTAGGGTTTGGGGTTTTGGGGTTTAGGGTTTAGGGTTTAGGGGTTTAGGGGTTTAGGGGTTTAGGGGGGGCTGAGGGATTTAGGGCTTCCGGGTTTCAATTTTAGGGTCGAGGTCGGACAACGCTAACACCTATGTGAAATGCTGGAAGAAATTCGGCGAAACTGTCCGAACGCCGTGAGGTTTCGAGGCGGTTGGAGTTTTTTTCCGCTTAAAAAGCTCGACTCTTCCGCCGCAAACTGCAGTGGTGAGGTCTCGGAGGATGTGGGATCGCAGGTTGGCATGGCCATTTCTGAGAGGTTGCCCAACTCTTTGCTTACACGGGGCCGATGAACTAAACCCGAAGCCCTGAACACTAAGCCCTCTGAGCCCACAGCCCTGAACCCTAAACCCTAAGCTTCCAGCTCCTATAAGCCCGAAGTCATAAGCCCTGTTTCCAAGTTTCTAGCAAGGTCCTTTGCTCCTTGGGCCTGCGCTGGCGATTGGCCGCGCTCCTTTGCCAAGGTGGCGCCGCCAAAAAAGTAGGAATACAAGAGCCTTTAAAGCTTTAGGGTTTGGGGTGTTGGCTGACACTAAGAGCTCAGCTGCAAAAGGGTTTAGGTTGTTCATAGTACATAGCCTTGCAGTTCTAATACCCCCTCAGCCCCTTCTGCTCCCTGCACATGTTTACATACATACATGCATGCAGACATATATACATATACACATGCATACACACACACATATATATATATATGTATACACATATATATATATATACATATATATATATATATATATATATATATATATATATATATATATATATATATATATACATACATACATACATATCCTATACGTTACCCCGAAACCATATATCCTATACGTTACCCCGAAACCCTAGGACTTTCGGTGTTGTTTAGGGCTTTTGGCAACAGCATCGGGTTGCTGCTGGGGTTCCTGTAAGGGCTACTACAAGGGTTCTGCGGCTTTTTTGGTTCCAGTTCATGTTTAGAGTTTAGGGCCTCGGGGTTTAGAGTTTAGGGCTTGGGGTTTAGGGTATATAGGGTTTAGGGTACCAGGTTCGACAGGCTCCTCTGTGATTCAGTTACTTCAGAAGGTTAGGGTTACTGCCACGAGTGCAGCGGCTCTGACGTCCGACATCCAGGGTGGGCATTTACAAGTCTGTGCAAAAGGGCTTAGAGATGTTGCATCCCTCGTGAAACGAGAAGGCGCTGTTGAGGGGTGTTTGCTGGCCCATGCTGAAAAAGGGCTTAGAGATGGTTTTACTCTGGGATTCCCTACCTAAACCCTAAACTTCAGGCTCCCAGCTTTCCAAGCGAAGATGTGAATCAGTAGCTGGGAGTCTCAACCCCAAACGTAACATAAGGGCCTGAACAGCTAGTCATACTTCCGTCCGTTCTGATCCTTCTAGCACTATGTTTCTACCACCTACACACGAAGCCCCATTCGAATTATTACAAGGCTCCTATATCATAGATCCCCTAAAGTAACCGACCACATATCAGTCGAGGCTCAGCTAAGCTCATGACCTCGCCGGATGTCGTGAGCTGACTCCCGGCATTACTTGCGGAGTAGCCCGGGGGGGGTAACCTTGAGCATTCGCTGTGGTCAAAGTAGCGAGTGATGTTCCGCAGGGTTCCCGACGAAGCCAAGTGGGGGCTGTTCTAAATTATGGTCCCTTTTTGGGTACCCTATATAATAAGGACTATACTACTATAGGGCCCAAAGAGGACCATAATTTAGAACAACCCCCAAGTGCAGCATAATCTAACCGAAATGAGGGTCCGGCCCAATGCCGAGAACTACGGCCCCTGATTTGATAATCTTTCCGGAGGTCTAAGGTTTTCCTTTCTTTTAGAAGCGGCGTGGCGGGGAACTCAGAATCTAGCTAAGCCCAAATCGCCAACCCTCGGGGCTGTAAGACTTGTGAATCGATGTCTTGAGTTGACAATTATCGAGGTTCTGATCAGGACCCTGTACGGATTTGCACTGATTAGGCTAGAGGGTTTTATGGTGTTGTCCACGGGTCTGAATACCTGGCAGTATTCACCGGTGGGCTGGCGTTGCTGGTCGGGTGCTTACTGTTGATATGTCTCAGGGTTCCTGGGGTATGGGAGTCGCAGGGTTCCATGAGCTGAAGCGGTGTTTTGGAGGTAGAGGTTGCAGGGTTCACTGGTTTTGGGGTGCATGGCTTTGGGGTTTTTGTATGCAATCCTCGTCTCCGTAAGTTCTAGGACTCATTTCGTTCCAAGGAATGTTCCTAGAAATGGGAGTGGCCCTTCAGCTGTCTTGGCCCTAAGGCCCTGGGACCTCTCTACCAAAATTCACGCCTTGAAATGCCTAAACGACGTACTTTCGTTTTCAGTTGCCCAGTCCAAATCGTTTAACCGGCACTTCTCCGCCTTCACTCGACATAGTTCCAGTCTACTCGTAGTGCTTCGGTTTCATAAACGGTTTTTAGAAGTATGGTCTCTAGGGACCTCCTTCTATTTTTGACTCTTCTAGACCACGCCCACTACAGGCAACACACTGATGGGCAGCTGCACGAGAGGAAGCGCTTGGCTGGCGGCCGTCCAGGCAGCACACTCGCTTAAAACGGTGGGTTCTAGACCTCGGCTGTTTCGGAGTTTGGGGCGTAAGGCTTGGGGTTTGGGGCTTAAATTTCGGAATCTTTACTTAGCCCGAATTCAGCTTGCCCTCCAGGCGCATGCCGCGATGCACGTGGCTGCTCTGCAGCCGAACGCCGTTAGCCAGATGAGCCTCCTGGGAGCCTGGGAGCAGGCAGGATCAGAGTCTGACGATCGGCCTGCATCGTCTTCCTCAGGAGAAAGAAGATATTCCAAGGTTCCTGAGTAGTACCCTTGCGGCCCCAAACCCTTAACCCTGAGCCCTTTTGTATTCTAGGGTCATGCCGCGTTCTGCCAGTTTTTGTTGTCGAACCAGGCTTGGCTTTGGTATGGCTACTGTTTGAAGCATGGTGTTCTCGCTTCTGTGCATGAGATGAGACTGGAAGATGTAGGAGTTTCCAAAACTAGGGGACCCTAAGATAGTATCCTAAATAGTGGGGTCCTTACTATAAGGACCCCAAAACAAGGTACCCCCCGATTTTCGGATACCTGCGAGCTCAGAGGTTCGGAAGCAAGTCCATGTGGCCTCGCCGTTCTGATTCGGTTACGCCATGCTACGTTCACAGAGACTCCTATATCCCTTAATTAAGGAATATACCTTAAATCATGTGAGGGATCCTACCCCAACTTAAGGCTAGGACCCAGAGTAGGCCCTTATTCCCTTTTTGAGGGTTCAGGTTCCCTTATAACCCCCTTTAAACCAAAGAGGGCACCCTTTTTCTTCCTAGGTTACTCCGAGGTCTAGAAGGAATATTCCTTAATTGAGGGATATTGGAGTCTCTGGGACCTGAACCTGGGTTTATTGTTTAGGTTTTGGGTTTGTGGGTGGTTTTCAAAAGTATGGTCTCTTTTTGGGTCCTTATTAAAATACGGCACCTAATATTTAGGGTGCCCGAAAAGGGGCCATAATTTGGACAACCACCCAAGTTACTACTTCCGTAAATTGCAGTCCTTACCTGGAGCTAAGACTCGTGTCAGGAGAGCTTAAACCCTAAACCCTAAACCCTAAACCCTAAACCCCTAAACCCTAAACCCCTAAACCCCTAAACCCTAAACCCTAAACCCCTAAACCCTAAACCCCTAAACCCCTAAACCCTAAACCCCTAAACCCTAAATCCCTAATACGAGGCTTCTGGGTCTGCATGTCTTTGCATGAGGACAAGTTCGGACCAGCACCCTTCGACTTGTTTGTCCCCTTAAGGTAAAAGCCAGAAAGTTGGAATATGATTATCCTAACCCTTCTATGGTAATTATAGGGTATCCTACCATGAAACCATATTCCAACTTTCTGGGGTTTCCTATATAAGGGCTTTGGGTGCCGCGCGCTGAGGGTATTCGATTATATCGTACTAGAGTACTAGATTACAACGAAACTATACTATACTGTACTATCGGGCTTTGGGTTTACTATCGGGCTTTGGGTTTCGGATGCTTTTGCACAATTGTATCGGAGATTCAGGTGCGTCGATGGCCCAAGGCAGCTTGATCGCATATCTGAGCCCCAGATTCCCAGTTCCGTCTATGCAGTTAGAACCTTGAAGCGATCTATTCTTGAGCCTCAAGTTACAGTAGGATCCTCATTTGAAGAGCCGTGAATGAAGGGATATTGGAGCCGACCCAACCCCTGTATAGATGCACTGAAATCTTCATTCCTTGTGGAAGTCTTTAACTTTCCTTATGCAGCCCTCCAGCAGCCTGAACACACCGCCAGTTGCAGCTGAGGCACTCTCTTCCCTCCGCGCTTCCTCGGCAGCTTACGGGGCTGCCATCTCTTCGTGTGCGAGGCTTCCATGCTGGAGTCAAGCTGATAGGGCTCCGTGGTCCTCTGGGTTTAGGGTTTAGGGTTCATGCGCGACGAGTGTCAGCTCGACTCCTTTCCTTGCTTTGAAGAAGCGGGGGACAGAGGGAGCTCTTGCTGTAACCGGGCTGCTGGACAACGAGGCCTGCTGCAGAAAAGGGTTCATGTACTCGCTGACTAACTAGCTCACTTACTCTCAGTCTCACTCACTCTCTCTAAGTCTCGCACTCACACTTTCTCGCTCACTCTCACTCTCACTCTCACTCTCACTCTCTCACTCTCTCTCTCTCTCTCTCTCTCCCCCTCCCTCGGTCACAGCGGAGGACTAGCACGATCGCCTGCAACAATCTCAAAGCTGAAATCGATATGTCTCGACGCAATTCGCACAGTTCAGGGTGCCCCTGAAATGCAACATTGTCCCCATCAATGCCTTGATGCATACCCTTTTGGTAGCTGAGCAGGTAACCTTTAAACTCTTGAGGTTTATGTAAGCCTACCATAATTGAAAATGTCAACCTTTATTGGGCTAGGGTACTCAGCCCCTAAGTAAACAGCCTGCCTGCAAAAGGATTCTACGGCTGGGATCCTGATGGCAAGACCCCAGAAAATGATCAAGGGTCCACAGTCAACCCTAAACCCTGAAGCAAGCTTCGAGGTGCAGCCAGGCCACAGTGGCTCAAAAGCTGCTGAGGGAGATGGCGAAGGTCACTCGGTTTTGATATTAAGATCTGGGGCCTTGCTCTGTCTTACCCAGGATCGAGATTGTCCTGAAGCACTAAATTTGCCTCACAGTTTTGTTCTTCAACCCTCCAAAAATCCAAAAGCTTTCAAGCCGTTGTATTGTTCATCACCAGGAGACAGTGCGGAAAAACCTCCTTTGTGTCAATGCGGCCATGTCTGGGCACGATCGCCAGGGTTCCTGGGCCTCATGGCTTCATCCAAGAAGGGTTTAGGGTTTAGGTTTAGGGTTATATAGGGTTTAGGGTTTAGGTTTAGGGTTATATAGGGTTTAGGGTTTAGGTTTCAGGTTTAGGGTTATATAGGGTTTAGGGTTTAGGTTTCAGGTTTAGGGTTCATAGGGTTTAGGGTTTAGGTTTAGAGTTTGCTCACCCAAGAATATCGCTTCGTATTTCGGTCTCGGTGTTTTGCTACGATTAGGGTTCAGCTTTGGGGCGTGTAGAGTTTGGGGGTGTTGGACTCAGGAGGAGCTTTCTGGACCAACCTACATTCGCTCAAGGCCGAAAACAAGCGAAGCTTCAAACTCAAGCATCCTTGTCACTGGTGCCTCCTTAAACTGTGATCTACGTCTCTACGTTTTGCTTTTGTGTGTGTATACAGCTAGCCCCTGTCGTTGCTCGGATCGAAGTGCAGACCGAGCTGAGTATTTGCCAAGATCACCACAGAATGGCTTGCCGACGCCAGAATTGAGTTCCAACTCTGGCACAAGCAGGTTTCAATTCTCTAAACCCGAAACCCTAAGCCCTAAGACAGAGCCTAAAACCTAAACAGGCTGATGGTGTTCGGGCGGAGTTGGAGGGCAGACCAAAAAAGCCCAAACTCCCCAAATATTGAACTGAACCCAAGGACGCGAAACCCTCAGCCCTAAACTTTGAACTCCTGGCTCCGGACATTCTCAGGAAGAGGCGCTTTCTTTCCGGATGGCCGGGTCGGCCGACGGGATGCTTGGATGCGAATCCCGAGGGGTCTTTTTTGGGGGTTCTGGAGGGCGGTGAGTCTTAATAAGGTTCGTACTTGAATCGAACGTTCCGTTAACGGCTTAATTGTTACTCGTGTGTTTGGATTCACTGTGCATGGTTTATCGAGAGTTATTACAAGAGTCCATGTTGCTGTATGGTATGCCCGTTGGCCTTATCAGGGCTCCCATTGTCCGTAGTTTAGGATGCAAGTATGGACCCTCGTGTCGACTTCGAAGCTTTCCACCCCATGAACCTGAAGGTTCGCGTCTCTTACCTTAGTGACTTAGTGAGCATAAGCTCAAAACACCCATAGGTCCCAAAGGCCCGTACCCGAAACATTGAAATCACGAAGCCTCAAAAATTGTCTGCTTCAGCACCTCTTTTCTCGTATTGCGGGCCGCTTGCTTCTGATCAAGTCTAGCATTGCCATGTCCAATATTGAGCCTCGCTGATGCACCCTGGGATGGCAATTCATCGGCTCCTGCGCGCAGACCAAACTGTTCTGAATCTGCCCATCCCACCCCCAAAGGCAAAACTGTGACACAGCCCTGCAGCCCGTAATTGTGTCACCACCCCTAGTTTCCCCTTTAATTAAGCTTTAAACAACACCTTGTATGCTCCAGCCGAAGTGGCATCCTTCCTGCTAATCACCGAGGTTGGGGATCGACTGCATTTCGCTCTCGACCATCGTCCCTGGTTCAATTGAACATGGCCGCCCCAATTGTCAATAGTGTCCTTCTGTACATGGTATACTGATCAATTCACAGTGTTATTGGGCTCCAGGGGGGCCCCGTCAGCATTTCGGACATTTGCATTCAAAGTTTTCAGCATCTCCGGACAGCTTCAAGTGGGAGTGTCGGGACCCAAAGGCAATGTATTTTTAGTATACAGATCATGTAAAGAAGCCGTAGGCCGATTTAGAAAAGCTCACGACTACAAGGTGCGTAGCTGAGTTGTACAGAAGCCCCACTCACTCGATGACTCAACCAGACGTTCAACATGTCATGAAGTTCCATTGGGCTCCAGTAACCTAGATAGTAGGAGGTCACTGGTAAACCCCGCAAAGGAGCCCTAGTGAGTTTCTCTTCGAGATCAGGCTAGAGGTTCGAGCTTCGAGCAAGGAGATTGGGGGAAGTGCCTAGCTCCCGAAGTTTCAAAAGCAAAAGATGTAGGGTTTAGGGGTTTTGAGGGTCTAGGGGTTTAGGGCTTACCTGTGAACTAGCAGAGTCTTGGGAACCTCTTTCTTGGAAACTCTTTTGCTCGCCGTGTCAGTGCAGAAGTCTTGCTCAGGCGAAGGCTTCAAAGTGATAGGGTTCAGGTGTCGTAGGATATTATTTTTTATAGGGCGGGATAGGAGTCCCGCACCGAGCTGATAACAGAAGGCAGAACAGGCTCCGACAGTCTCATCAGAAACATGAAACATGGGTTCCGGGCCTAGGATCTAGGGGTACATAGGCGGAGTTTCAGCCCGGATCTCAAGTACGGAGACTACACCTGCCACAGCCAGAGACTCTCATTCCTGATGCTTCATCTCAATCACAGTTTTTGCTCTTGCTATGTAAGCCCTGAGCCCGAAGAAATACTTCAATCCTATATACGGATGTCTCTCTCTCTCTCTCTCTCTCTCTCTCTCTCTCTCCATATATATATATATATATATAGATATAGTATATTATGTAAATACATACATGTAGTTTTCTAGCTACATACATCCTCGCAGGCATCTGCCTCAGAGCGCGGCTCCGCATGGCACGCGGCGATGGAAGTGCCTTTCGGCATGCCGGGGTCCAATTTTTCGGGGGCCTCAGAAGGTAGGATGAAGGTAGGTGGGATAAGCCCAAATAAGGTTCCTTATATAAGGGATCCTTAATCCCACCTACCTTCATCCCACTTGTGAGGCCTCCGAATTTGTCTTGCCTGAAGGCTCCCTAGACGCTTGTATAACCCCTGAACCCCGAAACCCTAAACCCTTAAACCCCTAAGTGAAGGAATGCTACGACAGCATCTTCGGTCATATTGTATAAGGCATCCTGAAAGGGGATCCTGCCATGTGGGCTGTGCAAGTTACAAGTCCCTGCATGCCACACCAAGTTAAGCCCCAACAGCAAACCTGAGCCTTAAGACCGCGAATTCCTTTAAACCCAAGGCAAAAAAGTCCTAAACCCCAAAGACCAGGTGCTTTCTCTAGCAGCTGCGTGTTGCGTCCGTCTCGACCTACTTTGCTGCGGCCTGGTCGCTGGGCTTCTGTAGCCCAAATTTAAAGGTTAAGTGATTAGGGTTAAGGACGTAGGTTTGTAGGGTTTTCGGCCGATGTTGTCGGGTTGATTGGGTTTGAGGTTTCAATTAGGGTCTAAGCAAATCTAAGCAATATAGCAAGGCGTGCCCGAGTGTGAGTGTCAAAAAACATGGAGTGTACTTCCGAGGAACACAAGTCTGATGATACTCTATGTTGGTAAGACCGGGCATGGGATTCTTTAGCTGCGGGGTTGGCGCAGATTGCCTTCACCGGAAGCTGGGTGTGGGGCGAGGGGGCTAGCAAAGCTCGGTGCAACTTGCCAGGTGGGACCTGTGCGCAGGGGTGTGTTGATTGAGGTTATCAGTGAGTATTGGCTGAAGCAAGTTTCCAGTGACACGCCGAACCGAAGCCACAAGGTGCTTAACGCCTGCAGTCGCTCCCAGCTCTGGACGCTAGCCCTGAGTGCGTGCAGCGCATTGGCAAGCCGACACTTGGCCACTTGGCAGGACGAGGGCTTCAGAGTGCAGGGGTTGCATGGGAATTAGGATTAAGGGGACCCTTGGGGATAAAGACCCTCTCGGGTTCAGAAGGGGTACCCTTTAAGGGGTCTCTCAAACAATACTACCTATTGCACAACACATTTTGCGGGGTAGTGCAAAGGTTTATGTCAAGTGGCGGTTGGATACCGTTTTTCTTTTCTGCAGCTGACACGGTGAGCTATCACGATACTACCGGTACGCCTGTCAATCCGCAGCTCAAGCTTCCAGTAACAGTCGCTACATCTCAATCGCCGGATGGGAGTTTCCGAAAACGGGGAACTCTAATACCCTACATATTCGGATCCTTATGATAGGGAACCCAAAATAAGGTACGCCTAATTTTCGGAAATCCATGGCTGTTATGCGGTCAAAGGTCGTGGATGGCGCTTGCACTGCCGCGGCCCTGGGAGCATGGGTGGCTGGCAGGTGGCCACGACTGGGTTTATTTCTTCGGTGTTCATGACTTCTTCTGTTTGGTTCTTAGTAGGGAATGGGGGAATGGATCCGTATAGTAGCCCCTATATAATCCCCGAAAGTATTTCCCATAATCCCCCATTCCCTATCAAGAGCCAGAGAGTCTTTCTTCTTCTCAAGGTTACCATGAAATCCAAAGCCTTGAAACGTTCTAGTCTCATAGGGATCCTTAGGGGTGTAGGGGGGAGGGGTGTAGGGGACTATATTTCCCTAAATAGGCCTTATTAGTCCTTATTATGGGCCTTAAGGCCCCCTACCCCCCCTCCCCCTACACCCCTAAGGATCCCTATGATAGTCCCAAGCCTTGGGTCCACTTTTATGAGAAACTCGAGGGCTCCAGTTGTTTAGGGTTTAGGGTTACTAACTATAATTATACCCCAGTAAATTGCTATTTAGGTCACTGGAGCCCTAGGGATATAGAGGCTCCATAGTAGTTCCTTTCAGGGATTACCTTGTGGGGTTCTAAATATGAACCCAAAAAAGGAACTACTATGGGGCCTTAGGGTAGTTCCTCATACGGCTGACCCTAAACCCCTGAGCCCTAAACCCCTAAACCCTAAAGGAACCCTATGATCCCTAGAGATCCCTTAACCCCGGTTAAGGGATATTGGAGTCTCTAGGGACGACAACCGCTCATGCAGCAACAGGCACTGGGCGGAAGCCCTGGAGCTTTGGCACTGCCTCTTGGGCTCCGGATCTTCAAAAGGGAGACAGGGGGTTCGTAATGTAGGGGCCTTGAGAGTTAGAATGGGATCCTTTTAAAGGGGTCGATATAAGGGCTACTATAAGGAGATCTTTAAGGGTATTAGAAGGTAGGGGCATTAATAGTTGGAATAGGGGTTTGTCTAGGTAGGCTTTTGGTACATTTTATTTTTTCCCTTATTGGGCCTCATAGGGCCCTATTTACGAATATTTTTCAGAAGCTTTAAAGGGCCAACCTAGTAATGTAGGGGCCTTAATAGTTAGACTAGGGTTTGGGGGTATATTATACTATAATTATAGTAAGGAACCCTCAAAATAGTATGGGGAATTATGAAGGCCCCTATTGTAAGAAAGTGTGTCTGCGGAGTTTTGGACGGAGGCTTGGGGTTTAGCAAAGCGTGACCAGGCTTGTTTAGGCATCATGGCTGGAATTCGATTACAATTGATTTAAATCCGGAGTTTAATTCGAATTTCAGCCATACCGCCTTCAGCGGTTAGGTGCTCATGATTTGGCAATTGGCAGTTTAGCATTTAGGGTTTAGGGTGCAGGGTTTAGGGGTTTAGGGTTTAGGGTTTAGGGGTTTAGGGTTTAGGGTCTGGGGTTTAGGGGTTTAGGGTTACAGCTTCTCCTGGGTCTTGTACTTCTAGCTTTGTTGAGTTCGTTTGTTCGTTTGGCAACAAGGGTTCCCTGTGCTTGTGATCCTCGGCTCCACGCGTTTCGGCAACTTGTAATCTTCAGCTGCAACACCCCAACAGCAAATCGCTCATCTTGGCCCATCATCAACAGGCCTTGATCGCATCATGGTGAACAGTCACGCTTCCGCCCAAACAGGGCAGTGCTAAGGAAGGGAGATACAATCAGCTAGCATCCAGCCATCACCTTCGCAAGATAACCTGATCGACTTTGGACAACTGATTTGTTTGAGTTTGGGTTGCGGCGGGATGATTGCGGTCCCCCAGCCCCAGCCCTTGAGTACTATGGGGGGCTTAATAATTACCAATACTATTTTGGGGCTTCCTATTTCTAACTATAGTTTTCTGGGCCCCATAGCCTTATATATTCTAGTAATTAAGGCCCATGCTTTATGATTCCAAACCTGCGTGACATGAACTTGCGAAGAAGCCCAAACTCCGAACTCAACTTGAAGGCTCCAAAACCCGGTCTCGGCATTGTCGAACCTGCAAATCCTGATCGGTCACTGTTGTCTTAGGGTTTAAGCTCTTTTAGGGTTTATAGTTTAGGAAAGCCTCCTGTAGCCCTCCCAGAATGAACTAAACAGGTTTCAAAGACGTGGGATCGATCTGCGGGGACGTAGACGTCGCCCGCAATGCTGCCGTTGCTGCCATGGGGAGGCGTAGACGGTTTCGAGCCATGAATCGGTCTAACTGAGGTGACAACAGCCCCGTATAGTCTAATTAAGTGTCATTGTCTCTCTCTCTGTCTCTCTGTGACGCTCTCTCTCTCTCTCTCTCTCTCTGTCTCTCTCTCTCTCTCTCTCTCTCTCTCTCTCTCTCTCTCTCTTTCTCTCTCCCTATATATATATATATATATATATATGTATATATGTACACACCCATTTGTCAAAAAAATGGTATATGCCCAGAAAATTATACGTAAAGACGCCTGTGTGTACAGAATACATATCTCTCTGCTGTGTTCTACTATGCTATTCAGGCATGTATATAATCATCCGTAGTAATATCTCCACATGTGGCTCTTATAGTTGTATTCGAGAGCCGTGGTCGTTGCAGTAGGGCTTGCCAAGAGCCATGAGGTTCCATGGCCAGGATGGTAGAGTAGAGATGGAGGTGTTCTAGAGCTGAACCTTATGCTGTTGTATCCGGATGTAGCGCATTTCGTTGCAAGATTTCTCAATGCCGAAGTTTCACGGCTGAAGTGTTTAGAGTTAGAGATGGAGATGTTTGCAAAAGCACCATTCGCTGGCAATGATGCAATGAGACTGAGGAATCTGGAGTGCCCTATGGCCTTGTAGCTTCCACCCCAATACCCCATGCAGGACTGTAATATCCCCGGACAAGTCAGACAATGTAAACACATAGCCCGGTACCGAAAGCCTAAATTCCAATTCTATGCGGCCCCACACTGGGCCAGAATGCGTCATTAAGGTTGTATGGTTTAAGCCCTGTTTGTATTGTAGGGACAAGGCGCCCTTAACTGAAAGGCCCATGGGCGCCTGTAACGTATGGTGTTTATGGATTACTATACGCGTCTTAGGGGTTTGTGGACAGGTTTTGGATATTCGTAAGTCTGGTTCGCTTTATCTTGTTCAGCTTTGGTAGGTACTTGTAAGTAGTGCTACCCTGATTTCCTACTTCCCAAGGCCCCTGATCTTGTAAATCAGTCCTAGCAAGACTGTTATAATGGCACCTTCAAGAAGGCCCTTGTCGAACCGGTAGAATCTGTGTCCTAAATCAGCTGACCCTTAAGTACCCACGAGTTCCGATGGACGAACTTGTCCCACACCGCTGCATCTCAAACAGGCTTGCTCAGTGGTGACTCGGCCGTTGTTGTCCTTTGGACGCTTCTTGAGAAGATTAGGGTTTAGGGTTTAGGGCTTGATGATTTATTGGTTCAATTTTCCTACAGGTACTTCTTGATGAGGCGTGCACAGATGAAGGGTCCTGAATGCTGTCCGACTAATTATTTGGGGTTGAAGTTTTGCTGTAACTCCCGCATCAGCGAAAGGTTGTCAGAGGCACGGCTGTTGGAGCTTCACAAGCTTTCGGTTTGTTTGTATTGTCCTTGAAGGGGCTGTGCTAGGCCCCTTAACCTTTACAAAGCATCTTGCCAGTGAAGCCTCTTGAAGCCTTTGTAAACCTTTCATGGGTTTACGCTTAATAAGGGGCCCAGACCTAAACCCTGAGCCCACCACCGCCCCCCTCCCCCCCCTTCCGACACAAGCCCAAACCACATTCCACATTGCTTCCAAGGAGGATGTCTCTTGAGCTTCTTCCTGGCGGAGTCGTGAAGGCCCGGAGCTCTACAGTAGGGGCTTCATCAGGTCCTACCGAGAGTCTCCATTCTAGTCCCTTGCTTAGTTAAACCAATGATATATCTAGGGGGCCATGTTCGGGGTTCTTGGTAGCACCGTGTGTGTGCGTGTCTGTGCGTGTGTGTGTGTGTGGGGGGGGGGGGGGGGGGAACTTTTAAGTCTTGAACCCTGTAACGACCCATGGTGTTTTCCAAGCAGCGGGATCGTTGTCAATACTCGCATCGAGCAGCAGGCCTGTTAATTCTTGGCTTCTATAGGGCCCTACACCCTGCAAACCATGAAGCCTAGCCTTCCCAAAGGCTCCATGTACCTTTATTTTAGGTACTTAACTTAAGCCTTAAAGGGGTCCCTATACAGGTACTTCAAAGCCTAAGTATCTACTATATGGGTACATGGAGCCTTTGGGCTTAGCTAGTCTGCGGTTGGCGTCACAGGCGCAGGATGCTGTTGGCTATTCTGCCGCGATCCTGGCCTTTGAAAGATCAGGCCGAGCCTCTGTTCCGCAATGCGAGGGACTTCGGACCCCGATACGAAGTTATGGCTAAACTCGTCAACCATGAAAGTTATGCACCCTGCACCGATGCTTTCCCATGGATGGGTGCATCTTGAGATCCGCGACTTTGAAGCGTGAGGTCTCGCGTGGTGCGCTTTTGAAGACGAATGTGTGTCTGAATTATGATACTTTCATTAGAGTTCGTACGATTAACAACTCCTGTTACCTTTGCTAATGCTATGGCTGTCCGTATGTCATTGTACGAATACAACTACTGGGTGTCGATGCGACGGCTCGTCTATGTTTTATCATCCGCAGTATCGTCGTAGAAGAGCTCCTCAAATGTTGGGTAAATAGTAACTACACACTAAACCCTAAACCCAGAAACCCTAAACCTAACCCGCATAAGAAGCTTTAACCTAGATCCGAGAATTTTAAGAAGCCCCTAATAAGTGATGTCAGCGAGCAAACGTAAGCATCCCTCTTCTGACAATGTGTTCGTTGTTGCTGCCACCCACCATGGCTTATCGGTTTAGACACTGCCAGTCATCGTTGCAAGACGTGTGGCCACTCTATAAGAAAGGCCCCTGAAGACCAGACCCAGAATCAAGAGCCCCACTACAGCGGACCTGTACTGTTTTGGGGCTCCTCCTTGTTATAGCAATAGTATAATGGGTCCCAAAACCCTATTCTAATTATTAAGGCCCCTATGCAACACCCCAAAGCAGGCGAATTCGACCTCGTTCTACACTTCCTCACGGGAATGGTCCCAAGCGCACTTACTCCGGTCACTTGTCCATCACTTCATCGACTGTGAACTGGTTCCGGCCCCTGAACCGGTTTAGGGTTTAGCCTAAACCCGAAACCGTGCAGCCTTAACAATCGTTGCTGCGTGGGCGAACCTCGGGGGAGATCTTCAAGCTAACGATGAGGGATAGTTTGATAACAACGCTTGCCGACGTCGCAGTAGCACTCAAGGTCCTTCTATACCAGCCGTCGCCCCGGTTGGGCCAAACTCAAGCGGCAGCCGCCTGATGGCCAATTTTAAAAGCTCGATTTCCCCCCTAAACCCCTAAACCCTAAACCCTAAACCGCTAAACCCCTAAACCCTAAACCCCTAAACCCTAAACCCCTAAACCCTAAACCCCTAAACCCCTAAACCTCTAAACCCTAACCTAAACCATCCTGAGTCGGCCTGTAAGGATGCGACAGCTCAGCACTCCCGTCAACTCGTCGGCTTAGTTGTAGTTCCAAAGTGCTCTCGGGCCTTGGGTTTGAGACTTGAGGGCACTGGGCATCGGGCTTCCAAGGGTTTATGGTTTAGGGTTGTTTGGGGTCTAGGTTAGGGCCTTGAGTTTCGGGTTGGGTAGGGTTTCGCGTTTAGAGTTTAAGGCTTAGGGTGGGCTTTCTGGGTTTCTAAAGGAATTAACCTACCCATAGGCTCCATAGTAGTTCCTTTTGTGGTTCATGTTTAGAATTCCTTAAGGTGCTCCCGAAAAGGAACTCTACTATGGAGCCTATGGGTATAGAGGCCGGAATCATTATTAATTATTAGTGATAATTACCCACAAACCCTAAGCCCCTAGAGCCTTTCTGCACCACCTGAAGCATCGGCTCTTCCCAGGACCCCCGCACAGTCGAGGCCGCTGTCCGCGCGGCATCGTTGCGCTTCGCCGCACTTCTTCGGCTAAGGGTCATTATGGGCTCTTGGGTTCAAGATCTTTGAGTTCAGGATTTACCCAAAGGCTCCATGTACCTTGAAAGTAGATACTTATGCCTCAAAGGGGTTCCTATATAGGTACTTGAAGGCCTAAGTATCTACTATATGGGTGCATGGAGCCTTTGGGTTAGGGATTTAGGATTTAAGTGGATTCAATTTGACGTTTAAGGCTGAAGGGTTTGCAAAGGCATACAGCCTTGTGGATTTAGGGCGGTCAGAGTTTAGGGTTGAAGGGCTTAGGATTAGGGTTCATAAGGTTTGGCTTAGGGCTATGCTTGCCCGGATAGCCTGGTCCTTGCGGTTTTGAAAGTGTGCGCCTGTGAGGCTTTTTAAAGGATTAGCGGCTTAGGCCTGCTCTGACCTGCGCCATATGCATACTTAAAGGATCATGAGACTTAGTATCTGGGGTGATAAATAGCGTAACTATACTTATAACCGCTTGTTAAGCCCACTTAAGGTAGTTATAACCCGACTTACTAAGTCCCGTGCCCTCCAAGTAGTGGCTTTCTTCGTACATTGTGATCTACTTTTGTCATGGCTTGTTTTCTCAGAAGAAGGCTTGTAAGCATTGTAGTTAATGGTAATTGCTGATTTTTCTTTCCTTACATATTGTTGCGCCCCTACAGTTCTAGCGGACTTTGCGTATTGTATCGCCGCTTCCTGTTTTGGCAGGCAATAGCAGAGCGTTCAGTGCAGTACTGCACCTCCTGTGCTACTGGTTGCGGTAGTGGTAGTTCAAGATGGTACTAGAAGCAGTAGTCGTCGTCCTAGTCGTTTTCGCGTTTGTCGTGGAGGTTGTGGTGTTGCTGCTGTTCGTTGCTTTGTGGTTCTTGGTTGTCGTGCTGGGCTGGGTTAGCGGCCTGTGGCCGTGGTCGTCGTAGTAGTTGAGGTCGTGGTCATGATGCTCGTGGCATCAGAATATGAATATACTTGTTCTGCTTGCAGAAGTAGCCACAAGTTCCCAGGCCTAGAATTGCACTGCATCGAATGCTGCATTGTGAGGCGGTATGTTTACATCGACGGAAAATATGAACTACCTATAGTCTCCATTGTCGTTCCTTCTTGTTGTTTAACCAATTATATACTAAGGATCCTATAGGGTAACCCCAAAAAAGTTCTTGTTGTTTAACCAATTATATACTAAGGATCCTATAGGGTAACCCCCAAAAAAGGAACTACAATGGAGACTATACCCTAAGGCCCCAAAGTAGTTCCTTTTTGGGATTACCTTATAGGATTCTATATATGAACCCCCGAAAGGAACTACTTTGGGGTCTTAGGGTAGGTATGTGTGCCAGTGCAACATAATTCGGACACCCCTGCGAGTCGAAGCCCGGCCCCAAACCCCAAACTCTAGGATGCCCAGTAGTACCCATATTCCCTTTCTGTAGTCCTAGGTTCCTTAGAAAAAAATACCCAATACCAAAAAGGGAGGCCATTTTATTCTTAGGTTACTGGGTATCCTAGAACTTGAAAGCCCAAAGCCAGAAGCTCTCGTCTCGAACCCCTAAGGCCCTACACCCTAATACCTCCCTCAGGTCCCCCACCCAAATAAAGAACTCTAAACCCTAAGCCCCCCTAAACCCTAAACCCTAAGCCCTAAACCCCGACACCGCCGAGGAGTAGACTCAGTGTAAGCCTCCCACCAGCGGCAGGCCCTTCTTGACTGCTTGCAGTGGAGATAGGGGTCGGTGCACTTAAAAAAAAACCCAAGCCAAAGCCCGAACCCTAAACCTTAAACCCTTGTTGCTGTAGGGATCGTGACGAAGCTTCTTAGCGCCGTTTCACTCTGCAGACTCCGAACCATATGCCTCGCCTGGATTGTCCGAGTGTGAGCGCCGAAACCTTAAACCTTAAACCCTAAACCAACCCTAAACCCAAGCCAAAGTAAAGGCATTGGCGTCTCTGCCCAGGCAGGGCGGCCAGGCCAAGGTTGCGAAGCTCTTGGGCGCCTTGGGCGACGAGGCCTTCCTTAACGACGAAACGAACCTTGAAAGGGTTAAGGTTCATATGGGTGGTTATCAAAATTATGGTCCTTTTTTGGGTACTTATTATTACAATACGGCACCTAACATTTATGGTACCCAAAAAGGGACCCTAGTTTTGCCAACCACCCATATACCATATAGGGTTTCATAGTTTATGGGTATAGGGCCCCTACTTTTGAAGGGCATTTGGTTCTTCAGGTTGGCAGCCCTGTATTCAGCGACTGCTTACTACAAAAAAGGTCCATAACATACTTGTACATACACAGTTACATAAACGTAGTGTAAGGTCAAACACATAAATGCATATAGACTGGAGGTAGAGGCTGAGATATAGATATACTGTGGCTGCCAAAGGGATCCTATGTAGGTGTCTTAGTGACATGGGCCCGGCGGTGTGTAATACCAGCTGACCAACCTCCACTTGATCAAACTCCGGCACATTGGAAACGCGATAACTTCGCACCCACTATTCGGGTGAAGAAGCTTGTTGCCTTCAAAACACCTCCTACTCCATACTTGGAAGGGCAGGGGACTTAGTAAGTCGTTTATAAGTAGGGTTTTAATTGGGGTAACTCCACTTAGGGTACTTGCAACTCTACTTATAACCTACTGACTAAGTGCCCTGCCCCTCCAAGTACCCCAAACTCCGAAGCTTAAGCCGCGTTCGGCTTCGTGACCCCAGAGCCCCAAAGCGAAATAGACCTCGTCTGCTGGAGAATCTCCACAGTTCGATATGCATTGGGTCCCCAAAAAGCATATAAGCAAAAATAAGGATATGGATATCCCATGTAAACCCCCTTATGATAAAGGCCCATAAGGTAGGGATATCCCCATAAAATGCTGGGCCCAAAAGGGCTTTTGGGGGCCCCAATGCAAAGTCCATTCGGACTTGTCTCGAGCCATTAAGCCCAAATCCCGAATGAAAAACGATAATGTCATGTACCCAAATCCCATAAAGGCAAATGCCAAATTCCTAAACCCCAACCCCCAAATCCCTGAACCCAAATCCTAAGTCCCAAGCCTTATAAATCCCTAACCGCTGAACCCGAATCCTTAAACCCTTTGCCTACGCGGCCCAAAAAGCCAAGTACTCACGATGGCCAGTGGCCAGGGAGTCCCAAAGAAGCGAAGCCAAAAGGGTCCTATGTACTGTTATGGGGGATACTTCCCTAAGTCATGATAGTAGTTGCTAATATTGCAACCCTACATTCTACTCAAAATTCTACTCTATCGGTACATAGGACCCTTTGGGAAGGTGAAGTGAGGACCCGACCACACGCTGCTTCAGTTTCTGTAACCAAGGCCCCTCTACAATCTGTCCCAACCTTAATCACAACCCTGTGCAGCTCCGTCGGCCCAGACGCAGCCCATTGAAAGACTAATGTAGGAACCTGATTAAGAAACCTTGGGCCTTTATTAGGGTTCCTTATTTGAATCCTACTATTTGGGGATCTGATTAAGAAGTCCTGGCCCTATTATAGGGCCAGGACTTCTTAATCAGATTCCTACATTAATCCCCAGCAGAATGGTGGGGGGGCTCCAGGCTTATAGGTTTCGGATTTTGCATCGTAGGGTTTCTGATCGGGAGCCTCCAGCGCTCTTTTCGGTCTTCTCAGACCCAGAGACTCCAATATTCCTTAATAGGAATCCTACTATACAATTTAAAGGTAGATTCCTTAATTAGGGGATATTGGAGTCTCTAGGAAGCAGAAGAACTTTAGCCTTCGTCGTCCGATCTGTTGCCATGTCTCCCGTGGAGGCCAACCAACTGCTACTGGATTCCCGCTGCGAGGATAAAAAAGCCCAAAGGCTCCATGTACCCATATAAGAGATACTTAGGCCTTAAAGTACCTATATAGTGACCCCTTTTAAGGCTTATAAGTAACTACTATAAATCTAAGACTACGGCAGCTGCGGGTGCTTTTTTACCCCAGTGCTTCAGCAGAAACTCGTGAGCCTTCAAGCGGAGAGAGCGGCGCATCGGCGAGCGAACAGTCGATCGGAACATCCCTCTCTCTTAGGGACATTGGCTGTGCATGACCGAACTGCGATCTTCAGATTTACACTGCTTCAAAACAATCTTTCCTTCCTTTACAGGGAGACTTAGTCGCCCGGAAAGAGGCCACCAATCGCTAGCGAGTTTGGGCTTGGTGAGGATATCCGCTCTTTGTAAGTGAGTGGGTACCCAAACAAGCGGAGCCCTAGCATCATCGCAATCAGGAGTCTCTTCCTTCAGCGTGTGTCTCAGGCAAGCAATATCTATTGCTAGCCTTCGGTCGGAAGGTGTACGAGGCAATCCATCACGGTGCATGTGGTCGTAGAGGGACCGGCAGTCGGTCACTCCCAACATCGGGATGTTCTTTCCAGCATCACGGGTGATCTTGCCAGTGAGGAAGGAGTCGATCATTGCCCTCACATACTGGCCAAGCTCGAAGCCTTCAATGCATCCCATGGTCTCGGCACCGAAAGTTGACCTACATACCCGGTCGCAAGCATGGGAGCGCCATTCGAGGATGCTGGCCGGAGCTCCAGCGGAATTGATCCCGTCCTTGCCGCATAGCATGACCAAAGCGCCCAGTTGGGAAGCCACGCTCGAGTTCCTCTTCTTGGTCTTCCGGGCCTTGTTGATCCAGGGCCCCTCAACGATCAAGCCGGCTTCCTCGTCCTCAGGGCACAAGAAGTAGACGGGGTCCTCGTTGAAGTCCGGCGCATTGCTCCATCCAGCGTCGTGGAACACGGTGACCACCATCTCCTCGAGGGGGATCTTCGCCAAGAGAATCCCTTCGTCTTTGTGTAGTAGTGCACGCTTTGCCATGGTGTTCGTGAACCGGACATCCTCAATAGTGGGTCTGGCTTGTAGTTGCTGGCACATTGAAACTCCACAAGCCAAATCTGGCCTGGATTGTGAAGCCAGCCACGAGAGGGCACCCACCAAGGAGCGGTTGTCGGCGACCTGCTCGGCGTCGGCTAGGGCATCACCGGGTGCCTTCGGGTCGACGTAGATCTCGAAGAGTCGGTTGGTGGCATAGGAGGACTGGGAAACAAAAATGCCATCAGGTCGGGTCTCAATATGGGAACCGATAAAGTCGAAGACATCCTCTTCCCACTCCTCGACAGGAAAACATCCAGAAAGTTGTCCTTGGACAGAAACTCTGAGGGCATGGGGTCCAACAAGTAGGATATCATCCACGTGCACAGCCGCGTAGCAGATGGGGCGTCCGTCGCCCCGTCTTCCATCCTCGTCGAGCTCGATGAGCTGGAACACGCACGGATCCAAAGGTGACGCAAAGAACTTGCCCTTCTTTCCTTCGGGTAACTCGATGGTCATCTCCTGGATGTCCTTCTTGAACTTCTTCCACCACTTTCGAGGGCTGTCGATCAAACCGAATACCCCCTTCTCGACCTTTATAAGTTGATCTGGGTGAAGTCCGGGAAGTCCATGTTTTGGTTGTCGTAGATAAAGTTCGCGGTCCAACTTCTCACCATTGAGGAACGCTGCGGTGACGTCGCCGGCTGCGACGCCCCATCCGGCGTCGGATTGTGAAGCGGCCAGCTGTAGCAGTGTCATCACAGCCGTGCGGGACACCGTAGGGGAATCCGTCCGCAAAGCTCCGGATACTATGTCCGGGTCCGTATGCCCAGACACCACAAGTCGCGACTTTGCCTTCCATTCAACCGAAGGGTCAGTCCGTCTTCGGGCAAGATTTTTATCGCGATATGCGAACCTCGAAGAGAGCACTCTTCCGGACTTGGCTTTCTCGGCGCTTTCTGCAAGGCTGAGAGGTCGAAGGGCTCCGAGGCGAAGATGTTCTTCCCATTGTTTGTGTTCAGCATCTATGAACAGTTGTCGCTTCGACTCTGGTATCATAGACCACGGGATCTCCTTCTCGAGCTGTTTGTCCCGGCCGCGCTTCGTGGTGGCCCGCTTAAGCATGTAGGTCTCGTTGATGTCGTCTCCACCTCCAGGGTGGTCGTAGGGCTCTGGCCTTTTCGTGGAAAACCTCCTGCGGACGGCGCGGGGTGGATCGCCTTGAGAAGGGGCGGAAGGTTCACCCTCAGGTAGGTCTCCGTTATCCAGATCCATGTCGCCGGTCTCATCCTCGTCCATGTCTCCCTCCACCTCGGAGAGGTCCATCACGGCATCGAAGAGGTCCTTGTCCTGGATCTCGGCATCGTCCTCACCCGGGAAGACGGCGGAGTCGTCGTAGTTGTTCTCCACCAGGCGTAGTAGATCGTCCTTCGTAGCGCGCAGTGCAAACATGCCACCGAGCTCCTCCGGGAGAGCTTTGCGAAGATGTTCGGGGGCGCACAGGTAGCAGCGTCCACTGTGGGAGATCCAGTAGTTGTTGTCCTGTCGCCCAATCACAACTCCGGGCCCTTTCCATAGTCCGGTCTTTTTGTTGGCTGGCTTCCTCCAGAACAGCACCATGGCCCCGTTGTCGAGGTCTCGCGGTTTCACGCGTGCTCTTTGTGACATCCCCCTCCGGATCTTGTCCTCTGTGCGCGACTTGAAGAAGGCCATCTTAGCGGAGTTCCGGATGATCTCGCGCCGGTGTTGGGCCGAATCCGGTGTCCGAAGTAGTTCTCCTCCGCCTTCTTCCACTTCGAACTTCAAATCCTCATCACTGCGGGGGTTCTTGCCGAAGACAATCTGGCATGGAGCCCAACCACAACGGCGGCGAAGTTCGTTCTTTGCGGAGGACGTTGCTGCAATGGCTTCCTCCACTTCGTCTCCCCGCACAGTCTGGTCCTTGACCACCCTCGCGAAGATCTCTTTCCACCACTTTCCGTGCCTTTCCGTAAATCCGGACTGCCAATGGGCCTGTCCGGCGCTGGTGCGGAGGTCGATGTGGAACCAGTCGGCAAGCCGACCGAAGGCATCCTGGATGCCCCGCTCGAGGTCGAGAGTGATCACCTTCGGCGCTCCAAACACCTGGATCCAGTGCTTCACGAAGATCTTCTCCAGGACTGCTCCGGTCTGTCGGGGTACTTGGATCACGACTTGATATGAGGAGGCGTGGTCGACAATGGAGAAGAGCTTGATCTTCTTGCCGTCAATGTCGTAATCATACATCATATCGACTCCGACCACATCTCCAAACTCCAGTAGCTTGGGTTCCGCCGCCGGGCGGGCACTCTTGGGTCCTTTGGCCCTCGCACAGGTAGAACAGGAGAGACTCTTAGCTGCCTTGATCACGTCCTTGTCGGCCCCGGCCAAATGCAAATGGCGAACCAGGTCTTCACGGG